AACCTCTTCTATAGAAGAGGTTAGAACTGGCAGGAACCCACTCCTGGTTATGCATGCATTACTAGGGGAAGGGCAAAGGGTTGAATGCGACCATCCCTTGACTATAAAAACTGCTGTAAAATTCTAATGTTGGCCCTTTGGTTAGATTTTCAAACCGGGGTTCTTATATCTTGGTACCAAAATAAAAGTATAATCCTGTATCACACCTTGTATCCGGTGAATTATCGGCTTCAACACCGAGCAAGAGCCCACTTTTGGGGACAATACAGCCACAGTGATTCACTTAGCAACAGTGGCAAGGAAGGTCACAAAATAGGGTATAACGCTCACTTAACAGCTCTCTGGCTTCAGATATTTCAGGCTTGGCTGTGGTCGTAAGCCGAGGACTACCCGGAGAGGACAGTGGAGGGTCCTATCCTGCCTTCCCTCGTGGCGAATAGCTTGGATTGTCAGCAGGTATAATGTCGGGAATGTAATGGGGCCTGACGCGATATTTGAAGACTTTGATGTCGTTGGCCCTGCTGTCGGTGACAAAAAGCGAGCCGTCTATGGCACAGGCGACGCTGGTCGGTCTGAGAAGGCCTTTAGAAACGAGGCAGATTGCCGAACCGTTCTGAGGGAACAGGTGGATTTTCTGCCGCTGTTCGTCCGCAACGATAATATTGCCTTCTTTATCGGCACAGAGGCCCGCAGGGTTGCCAAACCGGTGGCCGTATTTGCTGCTGACGGAAGAGACCAACTTGTGGCTGCTGTCGAAGAGCTTGACCTCCCCGCATTCTTCGCTGACGGCAAAACCCCCGTCGGGGGTGCTGCAGACGTAGCGTGGCCCGCTTAGGTTGGAGATGGAATGCGCGTTCTGCATCTTGAAAGCTCGGTCCAGGGCGAAGATGTGGACTTTCCCTTCGGTGTAGTCGGCCACCAGGATCCGTCCCGAGGTGTCGACGGCAATCCCTCTGGGGGAGCGGAAGTTCCCAATTCTGAGCCAAGCCCCTTTGGAGAACATGGAGCGGTCATTGAAGACGTGGACGGTCCCGTTCAGCATGTCCGTGACGGCCACCATCCCGGCTCTGGTGAGGGTCACGTCCTCGGGTAGAAAAACCTCCCTCTTCCATTCCACGCAGGGGATGGACCGAAACACCTGGCCGGAGCGATTCAGAAGGTCCACTCTGGGTGCGTTCTCGGTAGTGAGGTAGACCACCCCGTCTGGGGAGCAGTGAATTCCACCCACCGCCCCGTAGTGGTTCCTATTGGGGTTGGAAACCCTCCGGACGAGGTCATCTTGCCGATAATAAAGGTGGTTTTTGATATCGTCGAGGTCGTGGCAGATGATTCTGGCTTTCTCCACCAGCTGGTGAACTTGTTGGTCAGTCACCATGCCCATGCCTGGGTGGCTGGTCAGGAGCGGACTGGCTTTCTGAAAAGTGGAGTCTGATTTGACTTGCAGGGTGTAAACCGTCTTCAGAAGTTTCTCCTTGCGTTGCGTGTCTTCTAAGGTATAATCCATCCTTTCAAAAAAACAAAATAATCAATGTGGTTATAAACTATCATACAGTCTGGGAAGGGTTTTGGAGAGAGGGGGGAGATAGTCCTGAAGAGACTACATTGGGAGTGAGTAAAGGCCACAGATTTAGATGCTGAAGATTCCAAGTGAAATAAAAATGTTCCACTCAAGTGGAATGTATTTAAAAGTGTGGAGTTCTTGGTGCTCTCTGAGCTTGGTGGGTTGTTTTTTTTTGCAGATCTTTCATTACCCAATTAGGTAACATCATCAGTGCTAGAAGGGAGTGGGGTTTACAGAGTAGAGGAGAAAGGGAAGAGGAGGAGGAGGAGGAGGAGGAGGAGGAGGNGAGTCCTTCGGGATTGGGCGGCATAGAAACCTAATAAATTCAATTCAATTCAATTCAATTCAAATTCAATTTTAAGAAAATCATACAATAATGGAAGGAATATACTTAAATTGTGTACAGTACAGATATCAACATCCAAGATGTCTTAGAAGATATGTCCTACTTACAAGAATCTTTGCTATAAGAAGATTAAGTTAGATTGCTATCAAGTCAGAATGCTACGCAACCTTTTGTGTACCATAGAATGCCCTCAGAAATATGAAAAGCAAGAAAAGAAGTAGCAGTTAGGATTCTAACCAAATAATCGCAAATCTTGAGAATTACACAGTGATCAACAAATTGGAAGAGTTCAATCTAAATTTAATACCAAAACAGAGCATATTGAAATATGCACATGGTATAAAATCCTTAGTTTCATATGGCAGTATGTAATCTTAGATAATTTAATGCACTCCTTGAGTCCTACATGGAAATATAGGATGTCCAATGTTCAAACAGGATTTAGAAAAGGCCAGGGAACACAAGACATATTGCGGATGCATGCTGTATAATCAAGAAAGCCAAAGAATACAAACAGTTATTAACTATGTACTTCATTGACTATAGAAAGGCCTTTAGCTGTGTTGAACACATTAGGCCTTGGAATATGCTTAGAAAAAAAATGGGAATTCCAGAATATCTCATTGTCATCATTTGAAACCCATATACAGATCAGTAAGTCACAATAGAGTTAGAACATGATTCTGATCAACCATCTAGAACAGGGGTGCCAAACTCAAGGCCCGCGGGCTGGATATGGCCCATGGGGTGCATGGATCTGGCCCGCAGGGCTGGCCTGAAAATATCAAAGGACTGGCCTGCGGTTCCTCTGCTGGCTAAAATGGGCCACGGGCCCCCCGCATGACCCACATGGCCCGTTTTCAGCCTGTAGCACTCTGTTGGCAAAAAAAGGGCTGGCTGGGGGTCCCGTGTGGCTAGTTTTCAGATGGCAGAGTGCTACAAGATGACTGCATTGGACTGGATTACAATTATGTTGTCCTGAGTAAGTGCCTGATCTGGATAGAAACAAGCAACATCCTATTTTAATGCTACAGGTTAATGCTGTATTTTACATAGTGTAGGTCCATTTAATCTACAATCAACAATCTATAATTGACAGCCATTTCTATTTACTATCCTGGAAATTTACTTCTTCTGTTAGATCTTGTATTATCATGTTATTTATGCTGTTGTATTTTTATTATTAGAAGGATGTGGTGGCTCAGTGGCTAAGAAGCTGAGCTTGTCAATCAGAAAGGTCAGCAGGTTGGCAGTTCGGCAGTTCAAATCCCTAGTGCTGTGTAATGGAGTGAGCTCCCGTTACTTGTACCAGCTTCTGCCAACCTAGCAGTTCAAAAGCATGTAAAAATGCAAGTAGAAAAATAGGGACCACTTTTGGTGGGAAGGTAACAGCGTTCCATGCGCCTTCAGCATTTAGTCATGTCGGCCACATGACCATGGAGATGTCTCCAGACAATGCTTGCTTTTCGGCTTTGAAACAGAAGTGCACTGCTCCCTAGAGTCAGGAATAACTAGCACATATGTGCAAGGGGAACCTTACCTTTATCTTACCTATTTTTATTATTAGTTGAATAATAAAAATACAATAGCATAAATAACATGATAATACAAGATCTAACAGCAGAAGTAGATTTCCAGGATAGAAAATAGAAATGGCTGTCAATCATAAATTGTTGATTAAATGCCAAGCACCCAAATTCTGATCGTGTGACATTGTGAATGCTGTGATGGTC